TTCGTTTCTGTGCGGAAGATTAATTTATGGGGCGTGGCAAACGACTTTCCTCTCATAGGAAAAATCCGGGTGTGACGATTATTTCCAGCAGAAATGCTAGTGTCGTGCACCGTCGACAGCGACACCGACCAGCTTCTGCCGGATGCCCGGAGTCGACCGAAAAGTACGTCTTTTCATTCCACATCCCGCCTCACATGAATAGAAGGTCTTAATGAATGGAACAACTTGTTCCTCGGGTTCCCGGATATTTTTATTTTTTATATGTTCGTGTGTCTGTGTGTGTGGAGTCTGAGCGGTTCAACAGCCGCCTCGAATTAATCATTGCGCTGTCGAGTCTGTCGTAATATACCATGACTTTATTTATCTTGTACTGCTGAAAGGCGAGAGACTGTTCGTCCTTCAGAAAAGAAGGATTTTTTTCCTTCTGGCGGCTTTCGGTGATCAGTAATATGTTTTCTTTGTGGAGAGTGAAAGAAAGTCTCTGACATAGCTGGGCTTTTTTTTCTCGGGAGTATTGCTGCTGGTGAAGAATGCTATACATAGGTTTTTTTTCGTTGTTGTTCCAGGTGGAAGATTCGATGCTGTTTTCGCTTTCCTCGTTCCAAACGGTACTGCTAGTTCTGCTGAAGTATCCATTAAAATAACTTTCTTTTATTGCATTCCCTTCCTTCAAGGGTTGGCATTTTTCGTTATGGTGAAATTACGCATTCACTGTTAATGTTCTGTGCGAATGACGCGTCAAGTCTGCTCGCGTAATTTGATGTAAAAAAATATCCTGAAGAAAATCTACAATCGGTCACCGTATAAAGTCGACGGAATAATAAATATGCTATTAACAAATATAAATCAATATACCATAAAATTCTGGTTAAATGCACTGTGCATTTTCAGCCTCTCAAGTAAAAAAAAAAGTTTGCTGCCGAATTTGACGGCCATTGTTTTATATTGTACTTGAAAATCTGCCTGACATTCTACGAAGTGAACTGAGAGAATGTTTTCATTTGAGGAGTTCCAGCAAATCACATTGAGGCAAAAATACCTCTCGAAATATTCTCAGCAGGCAATCGAGGGAAATCCCGGCGAAAAACGAGATTCAGACGAGTAAAAATCGTCGGCAAATATTATCTTGAAAAATCCCAGGGCCAGTGTTTTTTTTAATCTACCCTATCGATACTGGTGTACAACTCACATCTTTTTTTTTCTTTGGAAAATCAAGAGGAAAATAGGAAGGTTCACATCATAGTTGTAAAGTGGGGGTACAATTTTTATAATGTTCGAAGGTTAGGTGCACATCACACTCGTTTTGGTTACTGGACAACTTGGATAGCAATAACTGAAAAAAAAAACAAGTCACATACCAACAACTGGCACCTTGTGACGACTGGGATAGCGAAAACTTGCACACTTTTTTTCAATACTTTTTTGCAGATACTTTTTGAATCTATTCTTCGCTAATTGCTTCTGGTCTGGAGGGAGTTCGAATGTGTATGAATTCCTTAGGACAGTCAGGGAGCCCTTCTGCTTCAATGCACTGTTTCAGTTCACATGAAAGTGGTGTCAAGGTATTCACTTTCAAATTCCTTATCCTTTTAAATTTTAGAAATCCAAGGACTCACACCTCCTTTGAATACCATTCAGAGGATATAAAATACCACCTAAACAAATACTCTAGCTAAGTTAGTCAAATAATGAATATCCCTGAGGATAACTGATGAAGTGATGTTGGTATTTTATATCCTCTGAATAGGAGGTATTTTATATGGAGGAAATAAAAGCACTTCTAATAGTCTGTTCAGCGCCCAAATATTGAAGGAGCTTTTGAGACTACCCTTAATTACGGTTGAAACCATGAGTATGCTCCGAGTTTTCAACGTTATGAAGAATTTGACGGTGTGGCCATTCTCGGGTTTTATGGTCAAGTTTGCCAAGCTCATATATAGAATGCAGTAGATCCAAAGAGGGGTTCAACAGGCCAGCTAAGTGTTGATGAAAAGATAGAATGCAGTTCCCCGGAGAGAGTAAAGAGAGATTCGTTCTTTATGCGTACAGACAGTCCAGCTATGTAAAGTATCATCCAGTGTCTCAGAGATATATCAAGATCTTGAATGGATCGAGCTAGATACAAGTGCCACTTCGCAGATATCGTCACTTCCTTCTTTAATTTACCCACAAACATTTCTTGACTCACAGAAATGAAATTGAGGAAGTAAAGTGGACCCCTTTTGTTAAAAATAACTGCGCTCAATTAGCAAATTTTTGGTTTACAAACTTTTGGTGTCCAAGAAAAAAGTCTTTGGTTAACAAAGCAAAATCTGGCCAACAAACTTTTTCTTTGGAGAAAAATCCAAAATTTGAAAATTCAAAATTTTATTTCAAGGTTTGAATTTATGGTACAATCTAAGTGCAAATAAATCATCTATACACTAATATGAAAACTTTAATAAGTGAGATCTCGTGCTTTAAAATTTGTTTCAGTTACGTTATTCATATGATTTTCTGTGACCAAATTTTTTCAGTGCTTGGTTTTTCGGTTTGTTCAGTTGTGCAAAAGGTCTTTTTCATCTTCACTTTCAGCATTAAACAAAGAAAATTTTATTTTTACCTGACATGTATCTTTCATTGCTGTGTGTTTTTATCAATGTGAATCTTTTAATATTCGTTTTCATCAGTGATGCATTTGATACTTTCACATGTACTGTAACACTGTAAAAACATTCCGAACACATACACAATGCAGCAAAAACTTGTTTGGATTATAGCTGATGGTGTTGAATTTTTTATTTTCAATGTCTATTTGTCTTTCGGGTTCACAGAATGGATTAACCATTGTGCAGCAAAGTTGGCATACTGTATTTTCATAAACTGTTGTACCCATGAGTACCGAAAATTTTAAAAATTGGATTTTTGAACCAAGGCCTGAGTTGGGAAAAAGTCCAATATTTTTTAATTTTCATTTTGCAGAAAATTTTACCTCAAACAAATTCCTGAAAAAGCTCATGGGGGGTTTTCATTAATTCCTAAAGCATAGGATTAGCATTGAAGATTTTTTGAAAAAAAAAAGGATTCACCCTTCACACATTTTTCCAGACTTATGCTCATCCAACCTGGGGGCATTTTAGTGAACTTTGGTCAAACTGAAATGCACATCCCCCCTCCCTCCAAAATCCTGATTTTACCATAGGATGGCCAGAAATTCCACCCCTGTCCAAGGGTTACATTCTTCCCAATGAAGTCTATTGGAAAAACAAATTTTGTTAACACACTTCTCAGTTAAAATCCATTTGTTTGGAACCAATTAAGGCTGTTAACCAAAAATCCACTGTAGAAAGAAGCTAAAAATTAAAATAAATAGGAACCATCAATTTGAACAGACCAGGAACGTTGCTTTATGGAGATAGAATCAAGCATTTTCTTTGAGCTGTTTGCAGGCCAAATTTAGCTCGGTTGCCAGAGGAATATACGCCACATCACCAGCATTCCTGGTTTCTATGTGTAGGCGTTATTGCGTCTAAGGCGTTTAGGCCCGCCAATTATCCCATGTGGATCGTTGAATTTTTACTACATTCCGACTCGACTCGCTTTTGGTGTTTGCCGAGGAATTATTCAAGAAGCACGCATCTTTTCCAAGCAACGAGGAAGAAGTCAAGACAGCCAGGAAAAAAAATAATAAAAGGATGATGGAGAGTATGGAGCTCTTTCTTCCTGTACACCAGGAAGAACCTCGGGTCGTATCTAATGCAGCATCTCAGCTTTCGTGACATGACTCCACAAAAGGCGCTTCCATCTCAACCCGGGGTTCATTATTCAAAATTGAGCGCTGTACAGTAGGACTCGGCTGCAGCTTCCGCAATCGATTCAACATGACACCCTTTGATGCATAATGCGCAGTTTGCTCGAGATATTTTTGAGCAACAAAAAAAGGGGATTATGCATCATTCTCATCACGGAAAGACGTCGGTGAAGTGCGTTACCCTGCGAAAGTCGGGTGTTCGAACACGCGAGGTTTAAGGATAGTTATATACTAACTTCCGAAAAACCTGACAATTCCCATTGTTAGCGAGAAGAATGATTAGCGTACTAAAGAGGCATTAAATGTTATTCTTCCGTGAAAGGTCGTCATATTTCAGTGCGGCTTTCCCAATTTGATCGGGAGCACTTCTTATTGCGAGAAAAGATAACGAGGAGTGCTAAATATTTTCGTATGCAAAAATAAAATCTTTCGCGGAAATGGCCTGCTTCTCTTCGATGCATAAATCAACGCGAAATTAAGGTGCCGTGGATCATAAAACAGATTGCAATTTTAAAATTCCTAAAAATGACAAATGGGGAATTCAGGAATTATTTCTACTATAGCATCAGCAATTTAGAAGTTCTTTCAAACAGGACAGACCATGAAGTATCCAAATGTAATCTCGAACATAACTGATAAATCGTCAGAATGATGAACTAGAAAAGACCGCAATTCTCTTCCAAATGCTATAACTTAAATTCTCTCCGAAAAAATACTGTAATCAAAATTTCAAAATTCAATTTTCTGAAATACTTTGCGGCATAATTGTGTGCAGTTTTCCAAATTCATGTCATATCACTTTTAAAACCTGGAATTCGAAATTTGCTCAGTGTTGTAGGAGAATTCGTGAAAATTTGCTCATGAAAATATTTGGCGTGAATTATAGGAAGTGCTTTAAACATATAATCTGCTGAAGGATAAATTGGGTATAAAAATTCAAGGAATAACGCGGCTGAAAATGAAGTAATAAAGTATTCATCAGCTCACTTTTTTCTCATATTTATGTATATGTAAGTGTAGACTTGAGGCCTCGAATTGAGAGAAGCCTGTGAATATATGAATGGTTTCGGCCACTTTGTGCAAATCGTTATAGGAATACTGTATGTCAATGGATTCAAAGTAAAGGTCTACAGTGAAAGCCACTTAACCCAAGAAACTCTTTCGAATCCATCTGAATCAGAGACATCTTTCAATTTTTCACGAGAGGTAGAAAAAAGTTAAACAGGTTAAGAATTCTTCCATTCGAACGGAAATACTTCTTCAACATCTTCTTTGCTCAGCTTCCGTACGTTCGGTATGCAATATTAAGCGATAAATATCGAATATGACACACCCTTTTTTACCTTATTTTTACTGTATAAATCCGGAAATTGTTTTTATTTTTTTTGGATGCGCCACGAAAGATCACTCAGTTCGAATTGCGTCGCAAATGGCAAAGGATTCAGACTAAAGCCCTTTTGTGAAACACAGCATGATCCTCGTTCTAAATGTCATCCCCAGATATAACCCAGTTACCCGCTTGCCTTTAATAGGATATTCAGTGCACGCGGAAATGGATCCAGCTCTTCCCAAAGTCTGGGAGAGGATTTTAGACTCATTTAGAGAAAGGATTTACTCTGGTTAACTTAATCTAACGAGACTTACTCTAGTAGAGGTGAATGACATTCACGACCAGAACAAAGGCTCTTGGTGAACAACTTTGACTTTTTCGAGACTACTGCATTGAACTTGTACGTCATTAAAAATATCGTGAACTCCAAGTGCTTCTTTGATCCCTTTCTGACCGGCGGATATTCCTGGGCTTCCTGGTCTAAAATCCTGTTGAAATGTGTCCCTGGTCAAATGAAAGACTCTCTCTCTCTCTTTCTGTCTGTGATCCGACTTTTCTGAACAGATTTTATTTTTCGAAAGGCTTTGCTTCAGAGATTTTGTACGTGATTTTCGCGAATGAGAGAATCGACGAAACTTTTCGGGAGATCCGTGACCTTTCGCGCATCACCCCCATCATCTATGGATACACATTTATACAGTATTCTAGATCTAGAACATCTGCGCAGCTTTCAATCACAAAAAAAAGCGTATAAGAAGACACGCAGCAGCTCTATTCCTAATTATATCTCTTGATACGAGATTCGGAATACTTATACGTGGTACAGTACGATGAGACACGAACACCAGCAAGTGTTCAATAACATATACTGTACATATATTTTTGTTACTCCTGTCGACGGAATGATCGAGTGATGTGTGACTGTCAATAATATCGATACAGAGCCGTTCAGCTCCTTTCACATGAAGACACATTCGTATTCCCTTTTTTCCCTGCTGGTATGCGATACATTACGGAATCCTCCGCGTGAATATTCTCCGACACAAACAATAAAACTTGACACGATCGTGATGAATCTAAGAATGTTGATAACATTCATGTGATTTTATGTCAATGTGAGTGGGTTGAAATTTCAGTTTTTTTACAGACTCGACGATCGATTCGCATATTGACGATCAATGATTCCCGTGTATTTTTTTTCAATAATTCGCGACAGTCGAAGTCTGGTTCTTTTCAGGTATTTAATATAATAACCTGAAACCCCGCGAATTTCACAGGAAGGATTCTTATTCAGTCCAACCAAAGCGATAAAAAGAAAACTGCAGATTTTCCGTCTTGTTTGATCTTATAGTAAAATACGTATGATATAGAAACTATAGCATATTACTTGGTTACTCTTTTAATACCGTTTGCCCAACTTACGTACAATATATTGGGTCATGGCATATTGCAGTACTTAGAATATGCGCATTTCAAAGGACAAACTCTTCAGTCAAAGATAAATGAGAAGGAGAAAACGTTGGAAGCTTTCGTGAATCAACTCAAATAGCCTTTTCATTACGTATACGGAATATATATTTGCTACAGATAAATTTATCAAAACAAAAGATAAATGTTGTTCAATGCATTTGATCCAACTACATGATTCTCTTGATTCACTTTTTTTTTCCTCTTCTTCTTCATGAAAATTTCATCACCGAGAAAAACAATATGCTGAACGTCGGTAAACAAGTTATTTCTAATGGTTCAACGAGCTGATATTTGTTGACTGCCTCGCTGTTCAAGGCAATTAGTCTTCGCTGCACAGAATATTTATTTACGTATGAGCCTGTGCTAACCGAAAACCGCTTTCATCGCAGACTAATTGCTTTACCGCGTTGACTGATGGTTCCTAATTGTTCCTCGACTTTCCCATCAAACCCCAAGCGACAACCTCAGTTGAACCCTTCTCTCAGAAATTTAAAAATGAATTCTATATCATCTAGCGACTGTATGGAAAAAATCTACCTGGTTTTTTTCTATACATGTATGGTAGAACTCGAATTATTTGACTTGGAATGCAATTAACCAAGCTCCTATAGTATTCGATACATTGACAGGAAAAATAAAAGCGGTCTGCATGCCTCATTACTTTTTTGCTGGGGTTTACTTGCCTCTGATTGATCAATTACCTGGGCTAACGCCCTCCAAGTAATTAGAAAATGCCAGCATTGATGAACTCGAACATACCCGGATTATTTAGCCTCATGTCTTGAACTTTTCAGAATTTTCCGAATCTCCGTGTTATTTTATAATTAATTGGGCAAGGGCATCTGGTCATTAGCCCGCATAATCGGAGTCGTAACTGTATTTAGACTCTGAATATCACTATTTGAGGTAAGGTATTTAGTTTAAATACAGACCGGGATGCTATAAATCACAGTCGTATATGTTTTTCGCTTTTTTATATATTTTCGAACAGTTATGGTGATTATGGGGGCGAACAAACGCAGAGGAGTGAGTCCTTCTGTGGCATCGATCTCTATGGACGACGTACGGAATATCGGGTGTCCGCAACTGCTTCATTACCCTCATCAGTCGCAGCCGCAGTCACGACACCATCAGCAACAACAAACACGTCGCATGTTGCCAACAATAGACCGTGAAAATCATCAGCATCAGCATTCCGTGTTCACCGTGTGTCCCGTTGATCAGCGACTCTGGGAACTGTGTCCTTGTAGAATCGTGNGAACAAACTAGAATATCATTTTATGCATACTATATCTTTGATATCGTATAATGAACCAATGAGAAAATTATGGCAAACGGGTTGAATGCATGTTATATAACCCAGTACCGTATAACGTCATGAATCTCTATGCGCATTTCAAAGGACAAACTCTTCAGTCAAAGCTAAATGAGAAGGAGAAAACGTGGGAAGCTTTCGTGAATCAACTCAAATAGCCTTTTCATTACGTATACGGAATATATATTTGCTACCGATAAATTTATCAAAACAAAAGATAAATGTTGTTCAATGCTTTTGATCCAACTACATGATTCTCTTGATTCACTTTTTTTTTTCCTCTTCTTCTTCATGAAAATTTCATCACCGAGAAAAACAATATGCTGAACGTCGGTAAACAAGTTATTTCTGATGGTTCAACGAGCTGATATTTGTTGACTGCCTCGCTGTTCAAGGCAATTAGCCTTCGCTGCACAGAATATTTACGTATGAGACTGTGCTAACCGAAAACCGCTTTCATCGCAGACTAATTGCTTTACCGCGTTGACTGATGGTTCCTAATTGTTCCTCGACTTTCCCATCAAACCCCAAGCGACAACCTTTCTTTCCCAGTTGAACCCTTCTCTCAGAAATTTAAAAAATGAATTCTATATGATCTAGCGACTGTAGAAAAAAAAATCTACCTGGTTTTTTGCTAAACAAGTATGGTAGAACTCGAATTATTTGACTTGGAATGCAATTAACCAAGATCCTATAGTATTCGATACATTGACAGGAAAAATAAAAGCGGTCTGCATGCCTCATTACTTTTTCCTGGGGTTTACTTGCCTCTGATTGATCAATTACCTGGGCTAACGCCCTCCAAGTAATTAGAAAATGCCAGCATTGATGAACTCGAACATACCCGGATTATTTAGCCTCTTGTCTTGAACTTTTCAGAATTTTCCGAATCTCTGTGTTATTTGATGTAATTAACCCGTTCCCGTAGACCAGTAATCGGGCGTATTAGCCTCAGCATTGACATAAATCTGAGACTTATAGTGATAAACTCCATTCCATAAATCAAATTTATGTCTGGCCCTACGATATTTAGTGAGTCGTATATGTTTTTCGCTTTTTTATTTATTTTTGAACAGTTATGGTGATTATGGGGGCGAACAAACGCAGAGGAGTGAGTCCTTCTGTGGCATCGATCTCTATGGACGACGTACGGAATATCGGGTGTCCGCAACTGCTTCATTACCCTCATCAGTCGCAGCCGCAGTCACGACACCATCAGCAACAACAAACACGTCGCATGTTGCCAACAATAGACCGTGAAAATCATCAGCATCAGCATTCCGTGTTCACCGTGTGTCCCGTTGATCAGCGACTCTGGGAACTGTGTCCTTGTAGAATCGTGAGTTTTATGAAATACGGTAAATTTTTTACAAAGAATGACGAGGGACTTGCGAAAGATCCGATTTGTTTTTTGAATTCTCCCAGAATTTTGTCAATTTTTCTCAGACTGAATCTCGCATTAAGCGAGAAGGGAAGAATAAAAACTGCGTTAGAATGTTTTTTCCACATTTTCCCCCTTCCTCGAATAAACCGGAACTTGGACTGCAAAGCTGAATTTTAACAAAACAGATATATTATATTTTTTTAATGATCGAAAATTGGCAAGTGTATATCGGGAAACTTTTGACTTTTAAAATAAAAGAGAACTCAAGAAACTTTTTAACGCTTTTAAATTCTTATTATTAAAACCTTAGGAACGCACTTAGCAATTTTAGGTCCTTCGGACCTTTATTTTTCACGTGTTTTGTCGATTAACCTTTGAAGACAGAACTCGGTCGATATTTTAATTTTATTTTCATTTATATGAATGGATGTTCAACTCATCCAGTCCAATTTTGCACCGCTTGACAAATAATTAGAATGAATTTCATCGCAGAATTACCTTGTGATGGCTTTGATCTCTTTAGTGGAGATCAAATATTTTGACAACGTCCTATTTTACTTTGGTTCACCCAGCTGCATGAATTCTGTCCTTTGATCAACATTCAGGTGTTTTTCAAAATTCGATTAGTAGAGGTATTCATTTTTGCCGTCCATTTTCTCGAATCACCAAAATCCTGAAGGAAATTTCATTCATATATTTTCAAAAAAGCTTCAGAAACTTGTTCTGGCCCTTCGACAATTTTCAGAAAGAAAACGCTTTGATCAAAAAATTCATCTTTGGAAACTCAAATCATGATTTGCAATTTTGAAGCACTGAATAAAAAGGAAGGAAAATTGCAATTTTAAAAATTTCCCAAATGTTTCTCTTTTGATGCTTTTTTGATGATGCGTACACAATTTTTCATGTCTGTCATTTACTATACAGAATACATTGCGTGAAAAAATTCGTGAGTACGAATTTTTTTTTTCAAATCCTTTCCCTTTAGAACTCCGAACCTTTTGCCACTAATGTCTATACAGATACAGTACAATATTATCGAGTCTGCAACCGAGAAAAATAAGCCGGCGAACGGATCATGACATCTCCAGAAAATTTTATTTTCTCTTGAGTTCTTTGAAAAATTGCGAAAATTTAAGAATAATAATTTTGGAATCCTTGCGTGAATCGTTAAAATCCAGGAAGCCTGGAAATAAAAAGTGCACAAAACAGCTAATGCCTTTGAAGACAGAACTCGGTCGATATTTTAATTTTATTTTCATTTATATAAATGGATGTTCAACTCATCCAGTCCAATTTTGCACCGCTTGACAAATAATTAGAATGAATTTCATCGCAGAATTACCTTGTGATAGCTTTGATCTCTTTTAGTGGAGATCAAATGACAACGTCCTAATTTATTTTGGTTCACCCAGCTGCATGAATTCTGTCCTTTGATCAACATTGAGGTGTATTTCAAAATTCGATTAGTAGAGGTATTCATTTTTGCCGTTGATTTTGTCGAATCACCAAAATCCTGAAGGAAATTTCATTCATATATTTTCAAAAAAGATTCAGAAACATGTTCTGGCCCATTGACAATTTGCAGAAAGAAAACGCTTTGATCAAAAAATTCATCTTTGGAAACTCAAATCATGATTTGCAATTTTGAAGCACTGAATAAAAAGGAAGGAAAACTGCAATTTTAAAAATTTCCCAAATGTTTCTCTTTTGATGCTTTTTTGATGATGCGTACACAATTTTTCATGTCTGTCATTTACTATGCAGAATACATTGCGTGAAAAAATTCTTGAGTACGAAAAAAAAAAGTTTAGGAAAGGGAAATCTTGAGGCTTGGAAAACGGTGATTACAGATATGTCTATGTCATGTTATAATAGCTCAGACGTTGGCTCTTTTTATTCGGCCGCTTGCCTAGTACTGTAGAGGAAAAAATAATTTAATTTCCAAGTCGGAACGACGTTATTATTTCAAAGGAGTCGTATTATGCACAGCTTACTCAATAATTAGGCTTATCTTCATCTCATACGCTATTATTCCTTCGGAATATTTCAGAAGATGCGGGCGAGAATAGAGAAGATTGGACACGAGTCTGCCGAGGATCTGTACCCGATTTTCATTCCAGAATTCATGGGCCCGGGTGGCAGAGACGACGGGCCGACTCGACGGGGGGAAACTGATGACCTGTCGCAATCGTGAGTCCGTTTGGCGTTGATCTAAATAAATCTTGAAAATACGTGGATATAAGGTCGGGCAAAGTGGAAATCGAGGCCTCGAGGCATCCGATTGCGCCTCGCTTCAGCATGAATCATTGGCAGTGTGTGTTATTTCTAGCCGTGCTCTGGGTTTCGTAACAAACGAGCTCATTATTCAAACAAATCGTTCGTAATATTCCTGAAGACGACGCGTGAATCAGCAACACACGGCCCGAGTCAAAACGCGGAAGAAAATGAATGAGAGGTTGCACATTAGTTACTACACAGTGTTTAGGACTCGTTGCTGTGGAATTGATGATAGGTCGACTGTATTCTACATCATAAATTACCTCCACTATCTTGCATAGATAACTTCTTGAGATCTTGAAGCAGTTTACCCGTCAAACAACTCGAGTTGCGAATTGATGATTTTTCAAAGCATGTGTCAGGGACCCCTAGAGGTCGCCCAAAAACACAAACCAATACAACACACCACAAGCACCAAAAATCAAACAATTCACACTTCCAACTCAACAAAACCTACTACAGTTTAACCCTGAAAACCTGTCCAACGAAACTGAATCCTTCTTCCTTGCTCACAAAACGAACACCACCAAATAAGGAACTTCACTTTGTCCCGGAATCCCTCAGCAAATACTTCTTGAGTGTGTTGTGAAATCTGAAAGTGAAAATCATATTCATAACAACTTCTGCAAATTACACCGGCCGTTTCTGGAGACTTGGTCTTGGCCGCAAACGGACTATTGTGTTTTGCACTTCTTTCAATTATTTTCTTTGTCAGAATCTAAGGATCCCTGACAGCATGTGAATTCATGTTTTGATAAAATTGTATATATGCATCATATCTCACAGCTTTCGCCTGTGAGATCAATTTTTTTAATAATCATAGCGGCTAATCAAAATTTTAAATTGCGTTTGTTATATAATCCCATTCACTTGCAAACGAAAGTTCAGTAGAAGTACAATTGAAACTCATGTTACGGGTCATACATATATTTGAGAACCAAATAGATCCATCACCATCGTGAACATAGACTTTTCTTACTTTAGCTCACTTAAAATAATTTCAAAATTGTCCTAACCATCCCATTTGAAACGTCACATCAATCTCATGAAACTGTTTTTGTTCCGATGACGAAAACAAATGATATAACGTGGAACTTGAAAACAGAAGCAGAGCACGTTATAAATTATTTTTCTATCAACCAGAACACACGGTTTTCGGAAGTACGGACTATGTCACATGAGATGCAAAGCTCGTAAAATTAAAAAAAAAATGCCGCGAATGAGAAATGATTTTTTTTTGCGTTTGAGAAATTCATAAGCTTTTTGCAGCGCCTTGAAGATGCAGAAGAAGGGTGACACTTATAAACAAATTCCGAAGAATCTACTTTGCATTATTCCTGTTCTATGAATGTACGATGTACCTGCAAAACTTTTGAAAGGTCAACAGGAGGGAATGAAATGAGGTAAAGAAAAAGTGATGAAAAGTTCCGATTTTTTTCTTTGTAATGCGTTCGCAGTAATGTCATCAAAAGTTGCACTGTGGGCTATGATGAACATATTCAACGCCGAGAAGTACTCGGGAAAACTTTTGATTGAATTTTAAATCGCGGCGACACATTTCGTACGCTGCTGGTTAGTAAATACAATAGTGCCATCCTTGCCCTTCCGATGCTAAAATATTGGATGTATGACTTGGAGTTAGAAATAACTTTTACAGACTAATATTGGAACATAATTTCATCATTGTTTTGAGTTTGTCTTCGCCCAGTTAAAGCAGAACAAAAACTTAAAATATGAAAATGTACGACATCCCAGTATAAAGGAATATGAGTGACCTTTCGCCCTTTCTTGTTCCACGAATCAGGCCGTCTAAGTGCTGCGAAAAATTTCAAGCACTTGTGATGTGGAAATGTTCCTTCATGATTAACAAAGTTTAGACCTTTAGCTTCAAGTACCCCTTGCTTAACTGCCTTGACCTATAATAAGCATGATCACCATGCCTGAGCTTTCCAAAGGCTTTTAAACTATTCAGTCCACATTGGCACATTCTGACTAAAAAAGGGTTTGCGAATCAACAAAGCTTCCTGTAAGCCTTGAAGAAAAAATATCTCTCTGTGGTTTGCAGGCTTTTCATTCAGAAATTCAGACACTTGAACTGTTCATTGCAAAAAACTGAAATACGAAAAAAGAGCCATCCCTTGCGCTTTATTCAGCTTAAAAAAAAAAAAAGTTCTTCGTAAGTGCATGATGTCGAGAGGATTCACTCGAGTATTATGAGAGAGACAGTTGAAAATTCAATTATGTCTCTCAGAATGTTCATCCCGAGAAATGCATGGAGTGCGAATGAAAGAGCACTTACACGTGCAGATATACAGTACACGGAAATGCTTTCAAGCTCACATTCACATCGTACATATAGAACTCGAAGAAAGAGGTACATTTTGATTGAAAATGCCTGCCTTGCTTTTATGAAAACCTCATCATTTTACAGACAACGATATACTCCTACGTTTTCACATTTATACTCGATTATATACGCTATCCCCCCCTCCTCCCCGAAAGCTGCAACGAATATTCTGAAAAAATATATCTTTCTGATTTGTTGTTGTAAGATGGCCAAACAATTTCTGGATGTTCAAAAATGCGAAAAGTCGTACTTCAATTAATGTGTAAGTTGCTGAATGCTATTCCAAAGCGAGAACTTGAAAATCTGCAAAATCTTTCTTGAAGTTTTTCTCTCCAAACTTTCAAAAAAAAATTCACTCTGCTTCTGCATTTTCGTTTCGAACGGTAGAATGTTTAACCCAAGTCAGTTTTGGTGCTGCATATAGTGTTTCAAGTCTATGAATCCCAGGATGACTCCTTATCGCATATCCGTTTATGATACGCATACATTTTCATCATGATTCGCAGCGACGACGCGGACAGTGTCGACGCTCAGATGCGTGACCGCAGCATGAGTCTCCCGAAACGGGTCCTGGAATTGCATCCGCTTCACATGCACGTTCGCCGAAAATCGTCAGTCAGCTCGACCAGCTCCTCAGATGGCGGCAGCAATGACAATCAGCACCAGAACAACCACAGCCACAACCACCACCACCACCATCACCATCACCATCAAGGACCACTTTCCAAGGCCCTGGCAGCCATCGACACCAACCTGAGGCGATTGTCTCTACATTCCTTGGAGCACTGGCGGCAACGCAACCGGTCGGGATCGACGCAGAGTGCAGAATATCCTGCCGGCAGCTACGCGCAAATAAAGCACGTGGACTTTGACCTGATGCCCCATGCCACTCTCCGTGTGGTCAGTGATGACTGTTGAAAATAATGATAATACCATATTTACTCCAGTATACGATGCGCACCTTTTTTCTAAAAATTGAGGCAGAAAAATAGGGTGCGCATGGTACTCGGGGATACATTTTAGAGATAAATTCCCAAAACCAGTGCCCCTCACATCCAAGTACAAAAAATTGAAGAGGAAAAGTGTGGCGCCAAGTCTCTTCCTGTATGGGGAATAATGGCTCAATTTTTTTTTCATCCCTTGGAGATGCAACAGGAAGGGAAGGAAGGGGGTAATATTCATCTAATTGAGGAAGCTGTCCTATATTGCAAATGCATTTTAACTGCTTTTGTGGATGGAAAAAGACGGAAAGACAAAATATTGACAAGGAAAAATGAATTTAAAAATAAAACATTTTCACATTTCAACTTGATTTAACAATTTTTGATTTTCAGCAGCAACAAAAAACCGGGGTGCGCGTCTTACACGGGGATAGGTTTTTTTAAACTAATTTCTTGTTGAAAAATGGGGGTGCGCGCCATACTCAATCGCGCGTGGCACTTGAGTAAATACAGTAATACATATTGGATTATAATGATGAAGTGTAATACAGTATTTATTTAGGTACCACACGCCCCTACAGCAGTTGAGACGCGCGCCGGGTTTTCTGGCCCTAAAATTTGGCTAAAATGATATTCCCTTATATATGACGTGCACCCTATTAAGAGTAAACGAAAGAGGGGGAAGTTAAAAAATAACACACTAAAATCTTTTTTTTCAGAAGTGAACAGACATTGAATTACTTTTCCTTTGTTTCCATATTGAAAGTATTTCTTTGTTGAAGTTTTTCAAGATTTTCTACAAGGAAATGAGTTATATGAGCACCTGAACTCCTGAAAAATGTTCAAAATTGTATATCCGATTTTTACGCGCGCACCCTCTTTTTTTTCTCCAGTTGATTTTGAAAAAGATATCCTTTTTTTCAAAATCAACTGGAGAAAAAAGGGGCGTGTGACACTCAAGTAAATACAGTAATCACCAATCGAATGCCAGACAAATGGTTATTAAGTTTTGAGACTCAAATACCGTACTGTACTTTACTTTAACTATTATACTACTACGCATAGCTTGCGTTTTAAATTCAGTTGGTCGCATTATTCATGTATCCTTCTTTGACTTTGGAGAAAAACATGTTTCCCACTCAGGAGGAAATTTGAATGAAAAATGAAAGAGCTTGAAAAGTGTATAAACATGTCGAAAACTCAAACTGATGTGAGAAGAAACTTACCTAAGCATCGCTTTTCTGATCTGAAAAAAATATATTGCGATACTGCGAGGTGGTAATTATTTTTTTTTAAGAGTATGGATGCATTCTTTTAGAGTCTATTTCTATATAATAGGCGTTTGGAACTCCTAAAATAATTTTAGGCACTTGCGTGAATGTTCAGCAAAAATTTTTGGAAAATATTGGTCTTCGCAGTACAGAATTTGATTTAAAATTTAGAAGTAGATAACAATTCATTGGAATTCACGAAATGTTTAAAAAAACTGGAGTGTCGGTGATTCATGACGTAACGTGACAGAAGGATTTATTCTGAACGAATCGTTGTTTATCAAATGTTTTTTTTCCTTCAAAAAGCTATGGATAATATGCCTCGCAAATAAATACGGGAGCTCCAAAAATTAAGAAATGCCGGGTAAAGCAACGGATTCACCATGATTATGATTTTCTAGCTTATGATGACCCCTTTAAAATTTGTAAAATTTAAAAATGCTCGCAAAAATTTAGACGAATTGTACCGACGTGTACGTGTACCTCTTATTTTCCATCCAACGTCTTCGAGGTCAGATGACTGTTGATTCTGCTCGTGCTTTGGTTATAGCAGCTCAATCTCTCGGAGAATGACCAAGATAAGCGAATATTGTACTCGTTCGTGCCCTTGCACTCATAATTATTGTTAAGATATGATTAATCTATGTTTACCAAATTCTTATTCATGAGTGTGTGTCGGTCGGCATCTATCGTAATTTTAACCTTTGAATATACGACGCCATAAAATAGAAGACACCATTATTGGACCCGAGACGTGCCCTAATTTCTGCTCGAAGTTCGTGTCGTGCACCCGAACGAATGGTTACTGCTCAGTACTGTAAACTGGCTCCTATTTTTTATTTCAGAAAAACGGCGGATCGCAAAAATTCCTCAACGGGTCGATCGACAGTCTAAACTCGAATATGGAAGACTCTCATTTTCTGGGTGTCAAGAGCCATCATAATCCGGTCTCCAAGTTACACTCGACGCCGGACAAATACCGCATTACCCGACGTCCGCCAGTCGTCAGCCATCAACGTCGATTCCGACCACGTTCCCAAAGCGTCTCTTCAGTGCGAACCTAAATTGCTTCTCATTTACGTATCGTGATATTTGGTGCACGTGAGATCATCTCAGCATATGTGCGAGGATGAAGAGAAGAGACTTTGGGATTTAGCTTGGGTCGTTATATTATTCTCGCGAACTGTTACGATTCCACTCGGCATAGTTCTGTATGTGGTGATTTTATTTTCACGTCTTACTTATCACATTCGAATGGGATATTCAAGGGAAATTATTTTAAATATCTCGTGATGGAATGAGCTTCAGCAGTCGTTCATCTAGATTTCGGAAAGAAAAAGGAAAAGCGTGACAGCTATCTTGTATCTGATTATTGGTTAGTGGATGCGAATTAAATATCCAGTGGGTTGAATCAGAGCGATTTGATTTGCGCCTTTGCGATTTAAAACTTGGAGCTTTATTGGCAACTGAATTTTTTTTTACCAAATGTTTTCTTCGAACGTGTGTACAAGTGAATGGTCCGAGGTGATGAGCTCGGAAATGTTTTGAAGACATTATTGTGACCGCTTCCACCGTGACGGATAATTCTTTTCGGGGTTGCTTTTTTGGGGGGTTTGTGTCCTGTACAAACTCTGAACTTTAGTGCAAACTTAGCTGCTGTAAATTTGCGTGATAGTTGAGGGTTTTCGCCGTTGATTTCGAATGCGCTGTTTTTTTATTTTATTGGAAGTCGTGTTGAGTCACGTGTTTGGTGAAAAACGACCGGCACATTTTGTGGGGTTGTTTGTTGCGTTCGCAGCTTGGGTGTCATAAAATTCTTTATTTGCGATGATACGGGCAGTACGTTTTCTAGATGTTTATCTTAGTTTTCATGCACATTCAATCACTGTAACCGATCTTTCTTATCTTTAGAAAAACGAAAAAGCAGTTCACTTGATCCTCTAAAATACAATTTCACAGAAGCAATAATATTTCTATACCTTCAATCCATGCATATTCACAGGATATGGGATGCGGACAGATCAGAACAGACATTTTGAGACTGTACAAATCAAGACAGAAAATTGGAGACAGGGACAATTTGAGACAGAAAAGTTTGGAGACAGAGACAATTGGAGACATGGACAATTTGTGACAGTCCCAAAGTAAATCTGCACACACAAAATGGTTTTTCTACACTTAATTTTCTGGTGTTTCCAAGATTCTTCGTGAATCTCGGGGAATTCTATATTTTATTTCGGGAAATTTTTTACTCTTTTAAAAATCTAAATATTTGAAATATGCTTTGTCCCAAATATTCCATTATGATACTTGTGCGCTGCATATTTTTTCTATACAAAGTGTTATCTATAAAAATTTGTGTAATTTTTCTTGACCATAAGAAAATATTTTGTGCGTTTTACCTCTGCCAATATTTAGAAAAATGATAAAGGTGTCCTGATATTTTTATGTGTATTGCGGTGTATCACAAAGGATCAAGATAGGAATTGAAGCAAGGAAATGCTTCTGTCTCGAATATTCCTTATCTCAAAATTCTCTCTGTCTCTAAATGTACCTGTCTCAAATTTTCCTTGGTTCCAGAATTTCCTTGTTTCCAAAAGTTTCTGTCTCAAATTGAACCTTTCTTGAATTGGCCATGTCTCCAACTGTCTGTCTGGATTTTTCCTAGATCCAATATAAAATGCAGAAGCATTTCTGGCAAGAAAAATTAAGTTTGTTGAGCAAGAACTTGAAAATTACCGTAGTTTTAATGAACTTCAGTCAACATTCAGCCGAAAAAGTTTCTAGAGCACGGACAGTGGAGACTTTGGGATAAAATTACTCGTTTTTATGCTGATAGCTTAAAATGGAAACACCTTTGGTTAAAGAACCATCAACTTATGTTGACAAAAGCCAGGCTTTTAAACTTCGGATCGTCTTTTGGCACTTCAGTAAATGAAAATTCAAAACGACGAAAAAAAAGGCCTCCGTTTACACCATCTTCGTCCAATTCACATTCAATGCCAACAATAAAGTAGATGAACTGTTCCACTGAATCATATGATCGCACGATTTTGTTTTCCTGGAATTGTGCGCATGCATACGAAATAATTAAAAGCAAATACTGTAACACGTATTTCGTGAACCATGTCCGAGGATTTGGATTCGCCGAATTACGCAAACGGCTCACGGTTGTGATCGTTTCTGCTGACGACGACCATCGACAGCGGAATTAGTGGACGACACTCTTTTCTGTCGCCCCACGGGTGACGAGGGACAGCTCTGAGTGACCACACTGCTGGATTCTCGTCGTCGTCCTTCCTGTCGCTGTTGGTCATCGTCGTCCGTACACTCACTGACGTCAACGATCAAACTCTGTCGACACAGGGCTTGAACTGCTCCTCGTTCCCGTTTGCTGTCGACCCCCCTGCTGTTGTTGGTGTCCATCATCAGGTGGGAATCAGCATGTTGATGATGACTGGACTTGGTGACCCCCAGAATCTTATGAGCCAGTTCCACGAAGGGGGCTTTGATTCGAGACGGAGACAAAGGCAGCGGGGAAATGCGACGTCGGGATTTCCGGAATTGGGGTTTCGGGCCAGACGGGGGTAACCCGTGCTGGGCGTCGTGATGGTTGCTTTGGTTCTGACGTCTTCTGGGCGTGGGTTTGGGGTCTTGAGAGTACTGTTGGAGACTGCCGGTACTCGCAGAACGGGAAAGATATTCCGTGTGATGGTACTGCTCGTTGGTGTCAGAGGTCGCCATGCTCGCACTTTGAGAACTGACGTTGCTCCCAGTTGAATATCTAAAAATAAGCAAACAATTAACATTTTACTTTGATGCACTGTATATGACAGCCAAAAATTCGGTTATAAATGTGTATCGAAAGAGTAAATGCTCGTGATTTTTAATGCATAAATTCAAGGCTTCATTTTTTGAAAGAAAAACAATTTGATGGCAACGCATTCTTCATTTACGTGTATGAATTTCGATGTACTTTTTCAATACCTATATTATGCTTATTTTGAATTATTTTTTGATAGGATTGTGTCAAATGAATGTCTGAGAAATTTCGTTAACTTGTGAATGCTGACAGGTGACAAGTAGAGCTGTTTGTACATCAATCAATATATGTGCAGTTAAACCTCTCGAATTTCAAGGGACCAGCAAAAAATTAACTTATAGGGATGGTTCAAGTTGGGGACGGGGAAACAAGCATTTTTTTTGGGGGGAAAATTTGAAGAATTGGAGGAAATCGTAAATGGTGTCTTCTGTGCCTTAAACTGCTTCTTAAATGAGTCGACAGGATGCTAAACTTGGAGTTATGGGTTGATTTGCCCAAGTAGACTTTCGCTTCTTTCCGATACCTTTCAAGACGCATCAAGTCACATTTTTATTGCTTTTCTCATCCATGTGTCAATAAAATAATAACCAAAAGGCCTCAGAAAATTTGAGTTCCGGAGGATTTAGAGTTATAGTGAAAAAGACTTCCAATTAGGGAGTTTTTAATGCGTTGTTTCCAAGGGAATTCAGATTGGGACTTGAAAAACAAAATTGATGCGGAGAAGCTTGAGGTATGAAGTTCAACTGTAAAAACAAAATTCTGGGAAACATGCTGCTGGAGTCATGGCAAAACTGATGCAAAGAAAAGGAGTTCTTTAGCTTACAGCGGAATCGCATGAGAAACTTCGCGGGTATTATCGTGGGGTAATGTGACAGGCAGAAAATGTTTTCTTTTATCGTTGGATGTAGAATACGACAAAGAAGATCCGGACACTCCAGATGAAGATGGTAGGACTGCATTGAAATATAGTACCTCTTCTATTTTAAAATATTGAACCATCTCCTGAATGCCTTTTCCAGAAGCGCAAATACTCGAAAAGTTTCGAATCAACTGGTATTCGAATAAATGATTGAATATTAAATTCGAGAATCGGCGTTTGGCAAATCTGCAGAAATCCACCCCAACCTGTTCTCTTCCGCAACTGGTTCGGGTCTTCTAGATCTCCTGAAACTCGGGTTCGTAGCAGCATTGCGATACACCGCCTGGAGAGCATCTGAATCCAACTGATCATCCGGACTGCTCGGCGGCAGAAGGCTCCTGGAATAGTGCGAAAATGGTCCGGCGGGGCCCTGGGCGAAGAACTCGTCCCTAGCCCGACGAATTTTCCATGCCCGCAGGCGGTTGGATGGGGTTCGACGGACGTGGTTCGCCATCAGGGCTTCCGGCGACACTGACGTCATCCCAGGTAGAGGCTGAGGTGGCGGTGGCAGGTGCAATGTCGGCGGTCGACGTGGTTCCGGGCTTGGACCAGAACCATTGCTCTGAACTTCCTGTATTCGTGAATGACGAAGTTAGATGACAAACGAAAGAGATGTCGCTCGTGTACTGAACACGACGAATCAAGTTCAAATGTAATGTACTCNTGGAGACTGCCGGTACTCGCAGAACGGGAAAGATATTCCGTGTGATGGTACTGCTCGTTGGTGTCAGAGGTCGCCATGCTCGCACTTTGAGAACTGACGTTGCTCCCAGTTGAATATCTAAAAATAAACAAAAAATTAATATTTTACTTCAATGTACAGTATATGACAGCCAAAAATTCGGGTTTAAATGTGCATCGAAAGAGGAAATGCTCGTGATTTTTAATGCATAAATTTAAGGCTTCATTTTTTGAAAGAAAAACAATTTGATGGCAACGCATTCTTCATTTACGTGTATGAACTGAGATGTACTTTTTCAATACCTATACTGTATTATGCTTATAGTGAATTATTTTTTGATAGGATTGTGTCAAATGAATGTTTGGAGAAATTTCGTTAACTTGTGAATACTGACAGGTGACAAGTAGAGCTGCTTGTATATCAATCAATATATGTGCAGTTAAACCTCTCGAATTTCAAGGGACCAGTAAAAACTTAACTTATAGGGATGGTTCAAGTTGGTGACGGGGAAACAAGCATTTTTTTTGTGGGAAAATTTGAAGAATTGGAGGAAATCGTAAATGGTGTCTTCTGTGCCTTAAACTGCTTCTTAAATGAGTCGACAGGATGCTAAACTTGGAGTTATGGGTTGATTTGCCCAAGTAGACTTTCGCTTCTTTCCAATACCTTCCAAGACGCACCAGGTCACACTTTTATTCCTTTTCTCATCCATGTGTCAATAAAATAATAACCAAAAGACCTCAGAAAATTTGAGTTCCGGAGGATTTAGAGTTATAGTGAAAAAGACTTCAAATTAGGGAGTTTTTAATGCGTTGTCTCCAAGGGAATTCAGATTTGGACTTGCAAAATTGACGCGGAGAGGTTTGAGGTATGAAGTTCAACTGTAATGATAAAAGTCTGGGAAACCTGCTGCTGGAGTCATGGCAAAACTGATGCAAAGAAAAGGAGTTCTTTAGCTTACAGCGGAATCGCATGAGAAACTTCGCGGGTATTATCGCGGGGTAATGTGGCAGAAAACTTTTTTTTTAATAGTTGGATGTAGAATACGACAAAGAAGATACGGACACTCCAGATATAAAGATGGTAGGACTGCATTGAAATGCAGTACCTCTTCTATTTCAAAATACTGAACCATTTCTTGAATGCCTTTTCCAGAAGTCCAAATACTCGAAAAGTTTCGAATCAACTGGTATTCGAATAAATGATTGAATATTAAATTCGAGAATCGGCGTTTGGCAAATCTGCAGAAATCCACCCCAACCTGTTCTCTTCCGCAACTGGTTCGGGTCTTCTAGATCTCCTGAAACTCGGGTTCGTAGCAGCATTGCGATACACCGCCTGGAGAGCATCTGAATCCAACTGATCATCCGGACTGCTCGGCGGCAGAAGGCTCCTGGAATAGTGCGAAAATGGTCCGGCGGGGCCCTGGGCGAAGAACTCGTCCCTAGCCCGACGAATTTTCCATGCCCGCAGGCGGTTGGATGGGGTTCGACGGACATGGTTCGCCATCAGGGCTTCCGGCGACACTGACGTCATCCCAGGTAGAGGCTGAGGTGGCGGTGGCAGGTGCAATGTCGGCGGCCGACGTGGCTCCGGGCTTGGACCAGAGCCATTGCTCTGAACTTCCTGCATTCGTGAATGACGAAGTTAGACGACAAACGAAAGAGATGTCGCTCGTGTACTGAACACGACGAATCAAGTTCAAATGTAATGTACTCTGCACTGTATAAGAAATTAATGCTTGGGTCCCGGCCTATTGTGTAGTGATGCAAGACAAGAAAATTGCAGCATAACAACACTCCTTCTTGCAAATTGTTGTAAAACACCCCGGCATATGGGGTCACTCAAACTAACAATTCAATTTTACAGGTTTAAATTTTCCCGCTGATTTGCTTGTGCTCGACTTCAATGAATCTACTCAGATTCGCTGAAATACTTTTTTATGATGGTTTTCCAATCGTAATCGGAAACGATATTTTTTCCATGGGACAGTTATACATGCAGCTAACCCGCTGATTTGCTTGTGCTCGACTTCAATGAATCTGCTCAGATTCGCTGAAATACTTTTTTATGATGGTTTTCCAATCGTAATCGGAAACGATATTTTTTCCATGGGACAGTTATACATGCAGCTATAGGCGAACTCTTTCGACAACAATCTTGTCTACGACAAATTTATTCTCTATATAAATAACTGTTTTTTCTTCAGTCCAATCGCGGTATAGGGAACAAATAGGGTAACATTCCCATTTTATACGAGGTTTCTACGAATAAATTCTCTCTACAACGATCTGGTTCCTTGAATTTCATAGTAAAGAGAGTCCACCTGCAATGCAAATTTTGGGCATAATTTTCAAGCCTTTTTCATGTTACTTTCACGGCAGGAAATTGAAGTTAACTCTGTGCTAGGTTTCACAGAATAAAAAACCTTGACACTACATGACTTCCGAGCCTTTTGGAAACCATGAATGTTGATTGACGTTGGTTCAAGTTCTATTAAGAGAAAACCTGCGTCATGATTGAATGCAAATATATTCTGGATCTATACCCTTGTGTGCTACCGTTGTTTTTGTCCGGTTCACTTATTGTGACGATGTGCGTAGATATCCTCCCAACAAAATATTTCTCATTTCAGGAGTAAATATTTACTCGGACTGCTGATGGAGATTCCTATCCACAAGCCTTCGGGTTTCCTATATATTATACTGATATGAAAATATGATGATAATACGGTATACACTATACAGTACTTGAACCAACCTTCTTTTCAATCGTTGAAGTCTTTCCAGGGTCTTCCATTTTGCGACGAGTACCCTTCAGAAATCGGTTGTAGTGTTGGACCATTGATCGTACGGATGATGGACTCACTGTTCGATCATTCACCGCGTCTGGAACTGCAGGACTTGATCTGGATCTTAGAATGGAGCTCATTTTGCGACTGACTTTCCATCGCTGTTTTTGGGTCGGTTTCGAGCCCAATGAGTTGATCGATGCTTCGTCGGGCTCTTTGGGTTTGCGGAACGAATCACCCGTATTTCGTCTGGAAATGAGAGGAAGCATTATAAATGGAAATCACAAAATGAATCGCGTGTATATTCATGATAACTTTGCTTCCCAAACAATGAGATTCACAAATACATTAGTTCTAGACAAGAGCAATAGAGTTGTTCGAAACATTCGGAAGTCACAGTCAAAAACGGAGTTTGAATATTCTGACAATATTCAAGGTAAAGATGGGAGGACTATACATTCAAATAACTCTTCTATTTTATAATATTTAACCATTTCCTGAGAACCTCTCATCTAGAAGTGCAAACACTTGAAAAGTTTTGAATTGACTTTCATTCGAAAAATAATTAAATTATTTCGAGAAACGTTCAATACAGTCAGTATAGTGTAACAAATTTCAAGCGGCGATATATTCTCTGGAAAAAAGCTGCCTACTGCAAAAAAAAACGAACTTCACGCTGAAGCTGATTCAATTATCTTTTGAATTATTCCCAATTTATGTTTCTATATCTGCATAATCACGGATAGTACATATGCGTATGTATACAGTATTAAAAAAGGACATTGAAAACCAAAAACTTATCATGTGCTTTCTTATTAGGATGATTGAATAGATTTCAGCTGAGGCTGCTTTCGAGAATTTTTCTTTGAATTTTTGACTAATCTGTCCTTCATGATCCTCACGAGTGACAGTCTATATTGGAACATGAATTGCACATGCAAAATTACAAATTTACAAAATTCGACACGTTATATTGTAGTTAGAAAAGTACGTCGAGTAGTGATGCAATGATAGCATTCGATACTTGCTTTTCGCAAAAAAATTCAGAAAAATCCTTTTAAAAAGACCAGGCAACTTTTTGAAGCAACGGTTGATATTGGGGAAAATAGCCAAGAAACCGTCGAGCATTCCTCAACATTTTTTTGGCTATTAATGATCCAAAATCATAATTTGCTGACCTTGCAGGGGGTCTGCTGTTCGAGTCCTGGGGAAACTTGAAGAAGGATTTTGTCGTTGGCACAATGACTTTGACGATGCTCTGGGTTTCAGCGTCGTCCCCAGCAGCACTCGGGATCTTGGAGTCCGCGTCGACGTCATCGTCGTCGGAAGTAGGCGCCGGAAGTCCGAGTCGACACCTGGAGGTCTGTGGAGAACTTTGCTGCGTCGAAAATAACTTCCTGATTTGCGTAGGCACGATTTCCGGCCTGTCTATGAGCCTCGGCTCCCCCTGTGCTGAGGAGAAAATGCAGCCGGCTCCCGTTGACCTGGAGCTTACTTCCGTGGCTAAAAAAAAAAAGACACACACGCCACGGAAGGTATCCGGAAGCGAAGGAACCAGAGGGGAGAAAAAAAAAACAGGATGGCTTGCTTTAAATGTCTCGGAAAATTCGAAACCCGTCGAAGTTTTTTTTTTTTTTCGATCATGGAAGATTTTTTTCTTCGTTTCTGCAGAATTCTTGTTTACGACGCCCAGCTTTTCTCGCATTCCTCGTCGGACAATCGCATTCCTGCACTGATTTTTATTCATCGATTGGTTTGAGGTTTCGTTTGGAGGAGTGAAATTCAGTGCAATGAAAACTTTACATTTCTCGCAATGAAAAAATTACCCAACTTTTTTGATACACATGACACACGTATTTCAAAAGCTCGTCCTTCGAACAAGCATCGGATACAATACGAAGGTTTTGGTAGGACGTGCTTATCTTCATTTAGCCTAATTAAATCGACGAAGAGAGCATTGATCAGTGTTGCAATTTTTGCCTACACTGATTTTTATCGACAGAAGATAAAATGTTGCATGTTCAACCAATCATAATGATCAAAGATTTCATCTGTATCAAAAACTTCTGCATCAAAGATCAAAGACTTCAGCATAGATCTCGCACCTTTGGGAATTTTTTGCTTAAAAAAACACCAAAATACTCTACTCCAAATAGTTTGAAACAATTTACGAAACATAAATAAAACTAAGATTTTCAATTTTTAGAACAATCTTGTCTTGTCAATTGCTGATCTCAAAATTACTTGTACCGTACAGAGTGTTGAAGTTTTCTTGGAATGTCAGTTAATTCTCAAAGTCTGATACTTTGGATGCCATTGAATATTCGCAGTAAATTAGCAGAGCCTTCTTTGAAGTTGTGATTTCTTCAGTTAAGTCTTTTTTAACCAATGAGTATAGCTCGCAGAAAATATCATCACATTCCTCGTCATTTACATTTTCCTTGAAATATTCTGTAAGCTATGTATATTATATACAGTATACAGCAATGTATAAGGACGTGTACATTTCATACCATAAAAAATTCAAATTGTAACTTATCTGAAGGAGTTCCTTGAATCCAAATTTGATTGTACGTAAAAAAAATAAACGTGGAAATAATTTTCACTAACTGCTTAATTTAGACACATTCTATATGCTGTATATATTATATTCTGTTTTTTCTTAATATTTTTCTCACCTGAGCGAGATAACGCATTGAATCGTTCAGCGAAACAGGTGTCGTGATTCGCCGACGCGGACATAGCAGGCGATTGCCCGAAATCGCCCGTGTCACTCATTGTCTCTCGGTGAGCCAGACCGGAACCATCATTATTGACAGCATTCGTCGTCGACGTTTCCGAATTCTGCCTCGACAGCGTCAACGTCGTAGTTCCGGTCGGGGAATCACTGGCCTTGTACGTGTCTTCAGAAGCCCCGGAAAGTTGCTTCCCTAGGTTCGCAAATCCACGTCCGTCGTCGAAAGCGATTTGCCTGCTAAACATGTCCCTGGAAATTCGTCTCTTGTTCGTGCCCCTTGCTTCGACTTGTGATGTGTCTTCGCCTTCGTCTGCTTCCGTTCGCTGGCAGAAAAAGGGAACAATACAGTTTCGAATGCAAAAAAAAGGTTCAAAATTTCGCAATGGGAAGACTTTCTTGGTTGGTGTGTATCCTAAAAATGGAAAAATTTGTTTTTGCAGTTCAAAATCCAGTTTTCTTATTGCCAATGAGGCATCCAAATTCTGTTCCTGCAAATATGAATGAAGGTCCGTTTTCCCAATTTCGGCATTAAAAAAAACCTGTTGTTGTCATTGAATCAAATAATCTCGAATTCAGAATAAAAATCACCGATCATCTTTCTACCAAAAGAAGATATGACAGTATACATCATGATTCGATACGAACACAACAATTGACAATGCAAATTACACATTTATTTTGGCATTTCCGGTATAATCGGCGGTCTACATTCTTCAGTATTTGTATACGTTGACAGCAATCTATTCTGGAATGGATATAACGAGCAAGGTTGACTTCGAGGGACAGAATCGTAAGGTCTATACCAGTGTTGCCAAAATACGGCCCGGATCCGGCCCGAGGAGATGCTTTCCATTAGCCCCGTAGTCCCTTCCCTACAATTTTCAAGGTGGCAGCAGCAGAATCCATTGAATCAGAACACCTCAAAAGATGAATCCGTGAATTTGGAAATGTTAAAAAAATTCCACTATTCCATGCATGCTGTGATTCAATGCATAGAATTTAATTAACCCTTCAGCAAAATAGGGTTCTTTTCCATTGCGCAGCGGTGACAGGATTTATTTTTTTGCAGGCCAGTGAATTTTATTTTGACCAAAGGTCATCAAAATGGCATCAAGGCAGAATGATCCAAGGCGGGAAATATTTGAATAAGGCAGATGAAGAAAATCGGCAAACTTGGTGGCATCCAGCAGATCCACCAAGGGAAATGTTGAAAAAACCCAGCCTTTATTGGTAGAGCTTTTTTTTGCTCTCCCAAATTTTTTTCTAACAGATAGAAAACCAATACTGTATGAAGACATTTCTCGGCTTTGGCTATACAGTATTTGCCAGTGCAATATTTTTTATTATTTAAAAATACAATACCTATTGAGGAATTCCTGTCAAAATATCCCGGCACCGCCACCAGCAAAGGGTTGCATTTCAAATACTTCACTGAAAGGGTAAAGTTGGAGCCTCTTGGAAATACATTTTTCATGGACAAATTTACCACAAGTCTCATCTTCGTTTTACGAGATATATGCAGTATTATTGTCCTCTGAGACCCTCGGCCACAAAAAAGTGCTGATGTGGTCCTTGCTGGCCACATCTGAGTTCGTCTGTAGCAATAATCTATATGGTAATCCAACACAATATCTCACAGACCTTGGCGTATGTGCTAAAATGTTGCATTCAATGTGTTAAATGGGATATCATCAGGTGGGAAGGATTTTCATACCTGAACAAGTTGAAACCCCTGCGAGAACCCGATCGGGAGGGAGAAGAAAAACTCCTCGCAAGGCGGAGGAGTCTCGTCATCCCGTTGCTGCGACGACGACTGGTGCTCAAACAACTGCAGACTGTCTTCTCCGGAATCCGTCAATGCCCTGAAATCCCCGTCAGAGCTTTGCTTGCTCGGCGAATGCGTCCTATCCGAAGTCGAAGACGTCAAGTCCGACGATGTTTTCCTCATGTAACCCCCGGCTGCCGACGGCGACGGCAAAGCGATGACGAACTGCGTCGCGTTATTCGCGTCATCGAATTCGTCATTCTGCATCCAAGACGGAGTCTTGGTGGGACTGAGTTGATGGTCGACCACTGACGACTCTGTGGACGAGTGCTGGCCGTGACGATGACGATGATGATGATGATGCCGCGTCGGTTGACATTCGCTCTCGTCGTCGTCCATTGGGTCTTCGGCCCGAGACTGCTGGTCCTTGTTGCTGGCTTTGGAGCAGCTGAGTGACGTCGAGTCCTCCTCGAAGTCTTCGTCAGCTGGGAGTTCGCGGAATGAAGGAGGGTCCTCCAGCAGGTCGTCGGCGACTTGATCGTCACTGACGACGTCGTTGAAAGTTGACTTCTTGCTGGGAAACGTGGCTGATGCGGAATCCAGGCCGTTTTTCCCACTCGTCGAAGGCGACGAATCACTCAATCTCGGGTCTTGCCAACTTCTTTCACCCTAGAATAGATAACAGAATATACATTTTTTCAAGACATACGATATTAATCTGAGCTCCACGAAGCCCTAAGGGCTCCTCGTGGATTTCCCAATTGCTTTGCCGCAGTTTCAGAACAGTTTCGGTAAATGAAAGCAGAATTAAATGTAGCATAAAAAATCAGAGATTTCAATGAATTAGCCAGAGTTCATGTGTCGATAATTCAATATATACTGTAATCGCTTCGAAGACTATTTTGATATTTTTGTAACCTAAAGTAGAGGATATTCGAGACGGATGATTGCATTTTGGCTAAAGGGGCTCCTCCAGCACAGACGTGTGTTTTCAAAGGGGCTCCTTGAAAAAGAAAGTTGTTCAAAAAGAGCTCTACGGGTACAAAAAATAAAATTGAGTTAAATGGGAAAACTAAATGATGGTAATCGCTCTTATTGTCGGTTTTGGGCTGCCTTAGTTAAAGTCATTTTGGATAAATAAAAACGCACAGAAATTCTACTCAGTAAAATAAACAATTTCATGGACTTGCTCCTACGTTTTGCTCACACAGCTGGAGAAGAGAAACAAATTGGACTCAACAAATGAGGCTTCTTCGTCACGATACTATGGTATACGACTTTGCATGTAGTCTAGTTAGTTTGAGAGACGACAAATATTTTAAATCTTTAATTAGAGAATATTCTTATTTAAAATATCCCAGTCTTAAAATCAATGCAGAAAATATGAAGCGATGCTTTGATCTCAGCAGTTTATGAACTGAGCTCGTGGAATGTTTTACTAAAATTCCCCTTTTTGCGTTCGTCGCCGTTAAAAATGTGAACTTCACTTCAAGAAAATCTTTAGCGGATGCTGTAAATTAAAAGACGCTTTCCTATTTAAAATTTGTATATCTCATTATTCAAATTCATTCCAAACCCCGGTGGTTTGGAAGAGTTTGACTTCGAAACCGCAATAATCAAAAATCTTATGTTGAAGATACAGTTTCAACAAAACTCAAGATTACAGTATTAAGATTATTCCTCTATATAATTGTGGATTACCAGATGGACTCACCATATTTCCACCGTCTTCGTCGAGTTTATCCGGCTGTACACCATCTGAAAGCCATCCAATCCACTCACTTGAAATCGAAGCATTAAAAAGCCAACTCATTTCGACAAGCTTATAAGCGTGAGTAAGCGAAAAGCTCTTCGAAACAGTGATAAAACGTGCTCATCCGAGATTTGAAAAAAACGCAAAAATGTTCGCCAAAAAGTGCGTTATGTAGCAGGGCTGAGGGAGTTGTGTATAATGTATGCTCGTGATCAGATAGAAATACCTTATCCGAGAACTTTTGAATTGCTATGCAGTGTAAACAGTGCTTTTGTTGTGCTTGAAGACGTGTCATCTCAGAAATCAGGGTTCATTTCAGAAGGTGACGACCGACCTTGCGAGTTCCACATCTTGAGCAGTTCTGCTTTGAGTTCCCTGACTTTTCTGCTAAGTTCTTGCTTTGAAGTCCGACGATGAGCATCTCTGAGTGACGATAAGCCACGATCTGCACCAAATCCGCTACTTTCCAGCAGCTTTCAAAAAAAAATATCAGAAAGAAACAGAAGCGTTAGATTTGAAAACATCGAAGCTCAAAAGAGCCAGGAGAGCTTCTTCGTGGATGTTTTAAAACAATCAGAAACATGATTTCCGTTTGCCTTATTCCAGAAACACGTATAGAAATAAAGTAATCAAAAGAGAAGTCTTGTTCGGGTTATTGGTTTAAAAATGTTGATCCATTGTATTATATGGTACCCAACATATGGTGCTAAAATGTTTGATAAATCATGCAGCATTGGGATGGATAAAATAAACTGCTAAATCAGGTGCTCAAAATGACGTCGAAGTATATTATTTACTTGCCAGTGTTTGAATGGCCCACGAACTTGAAAACAGTCCGCATGCTGCCGAATTGTTTTGAGTACATATAATGAAAGAATCTTTCAGATTTTGAGAAATTTTTTCAATAGTCAATTTCCTGTGACAAACATGATGAGATGTCTTTTTGAATTATTTCGGGATTTTTGAGCCGATGAGGCTGAATGCGGTTGATTGATGAAGACGAAATTGAACGAATCGTGTCTGTGTTGTCAGAAAAGTCTCATATTAAATTAGCTTTAGGCTTGCCGCAAATTAAATGTTGCTTATTATACAGAAGGAAAAACAATTGCCGTATTTAGATTCAGAACATTTTTGGGTGCGCCTAAAAAGTCTATTATTTTCTTTTTAACTAACCTTCGCTTAGCTATATTATGTTTTATAAATAACCGCACCTTTTACTGAGAATCGGTTCTCCAACTGAGATGAAATTATAAAAAAAAAAACCTGCAGTATTTCAGAAATCAGGAATCTCGTTGCATATAAGTTTACTTTCGAAAGGGCATGTGGCCCAACAGCTTCAATCGACGACCAGGAACGGGAATGATGGTTGCTGCAGTTGCCAGCGGGTTCCGATTCCTGCAGTCGGTGCATTCCCTTTTCAATTAGCTGCAAGTGTAGCGATCGGATTTCTCGGTTCCTAGCACTCAGTTGAGCTTCAATATCCCTAGCCTTCAAATAAAATAAACAATGGGTTTCAATCTTTTTGACAGTCCTTTTTTTTAAATATATGTCGGTCAAAACTCACGTGCTCAAGCAACTCCGAAGACAGGGCATCGACACGCTGGTATTGAGGATTATATTTGGTCGACTTCATCGCTTCTTGCCCGAAAATCTGCCACTATAAGGGATTTTTAGAGGAAACAATTCCTTGCTGAAATGNAGGGTTCATTTCAGAAGGTGACGACCGACCTTGCGAGTTCCACATCTTGAGCAGTTCTGCTTTGAGTTCCCTGACTTTTCTGCTAAGTTCTTGCTTTGAAGTCCGACGATGAGCATCTCTGAGTGACGATAAGCCACGATCTGCACCAAATCCGCTACTTTCCAGCAGCTTTCAAAAAAAAATATCAGAAAGAAACAGAAGCGTTAGATTTGAAAACATCGAAGCTCAAAAGAGCCAGGAGAGCTTCTTCGTGGATGTTTTAAAACAATCAGAAACATGATTTCCGTTTGCCTTATTCCAGAAACACGTATAGAAATAAAGTAATCAAAAGAGAAGTCTTGTTCGGGTTATTGGTTTAAAAATGTTGATCCATTGTATTATATGGTACCCAACATATGGTGCTAAAATGTTTGATAAATCATGCAGCATTGGGATGGATAAAATAAACTGCTAAATCAGGTGCTCAAAATGACGTCGAAGTATATTATTTACTTGCCAGTAGTGTTCCCACTCATTGAATGGCTCACGAACTTGAAAACAGTCCGCGTGCTGCCGCATTGTTTTCAGTACATATAATGAAAGAATCTTCCAGATTTTGAGAAATTTCTTCAATATTCAATTTCCCGTGACAAACATGATAAGATGTCTTTTTGAATTATTTCGGGATTTTTGAGCCGATAATGAGGCTGAATGAGGTTGATTGGAGAAGACGAAATTGGACGAATCGTGTCTGTGGTGTCGGAAAAGTCTATTATTAAATGAGCATTAGGCTTGCCGCAAATCATATGTTACTTATTATACAGAAGGAAAAATAATTGCCGTATTTCGATTCAGAAATTTTTTGGGTGCGCTGCAAATAAGGTCTATCATTTTCTTTTTAACTAACCTTCGCTTCGCTATATTATGTTTTATAAATAACCGCACCTTTTACTGAGAATCGGTTCTCCAACTGATATGAAATTATAAAAAAAAACCTGCAGTATTTCAGAAATCAGGAATCTCGTTGCTATTCAAATGAAAGCTTTCCCGTACACCGGGTTGTCGAAGTTAGCTGCTGGTCCTTGCCCTTACTACCAACGACGTCAACGGTCGCCCAAGGCTAAGGACGTCAGCCACGTAAGGGAAAAGTTAATCCTGCAAGTGTAGCGATCGGATTTCTCGGTTCCTAGCACTCAGTTGAGCTTCAATATCCCTAGCCTTCAAATAAAATAAACAATGGGTTTCAATCTTTTTGACAGTCCTTTTTTTTAAATATATGTCGGTCAAAACTCACGTGCTCAAGCAACTCCGAAGACAGGGCATCGACACGCTGGTATTGAGGATTATATTTGGTCGACTTCATCGCTTCTTGCCCGAAAATCTGCCACTATAAGGGATTTTTAGAGGAAACAATTCCTTGCTGAAATGCTATTCTTGAAAAAAATGAATACGTTTCGAAAATAAAAACTCACGATGTCTTTGTTTCCGTGAACATTCGCCAATTCCTCAATTTTTCCGACAAGCACTTGGGCCAGTCTTTCTTGTTTCGCAGCATATCTCTCCAAAGCGATCTAAAGATTGAAACAAAATTAAATTGACATAAAAAGAAAGGGCTTCCCAAAATGTGGAGACTTGAACCTTGAGATTCTCTCGATCGTGACTGAGTTTTTCGTGAAACGCCTCAAGTTCACTGATCTTCATTTTTAGCATCAATCTTCTGTCCTCTAGGCGTTTCTTCTCTTCTTCGGAGTCACTCGCTTCTCCTGCTTTTGCTTCTTCGCGATTTTTTCGAGTACCTATGTTCGACGCGAAAATTATTTTTTAAAATTTATATCATGATGTACAGTGATGACGTAATATATATTTTCTTACCGAGTTCCCTCGTATGCCAACCCACGTGCTCTATCTTCGTTTGCAGCTCTTCGATTTGAGTTTCAATGCGTCTGTAAGTTTTCCAAGTGAACTTCACGTTTTTAAAATGTCACAGTGATGAAATTGCACGGCACTCACTTGCACAATGCGTCGTTCGACTGCATTTGTTCGATTATGTTGATGTTTTCGTCTAAAAGATTACTGTAGCGATCAGCAGGATTTTTTCCTCCGTTCCCCAGAGAGTCTCGGTCCTTTCCTCCTTCGCTGCTCTTCGGTGTGCTGGATTTCATAAAATGATAATAATTTAGCACTTGTCAAATGAAAGTTCGATGCTATATATTTTCATTGATGATGAATAAAATTTTTAAAAACCTCATCGGGATTCGAATGCAATCGGTGACTTCAGGTGCACAGAATGTGACGAGTGGCGGAGGTTGAGCAGGTGCTTCGACCAAAATACCAGCAGCAAGAGCCGGAGGTCGGATTGGTTTCGATTCTTCCACCAACTCCTCTACGTCTACCACTATTGCACAAGATTCCTTTTGCAGCCGAGAATCGTCGATTGGGTTCCTCGCATTGTCAATCGACGATTTAAGATCGGGTTCCGAGTGACTCCTGCTGCTTCCTCCTATTTGCGAAACATACACACGAGCCATAAATCATCGCGTAAATTACATTACTTGCACCTTTTTTTTTTAACATTTTCGTGACGAAATACGAAGTGCCTTTGGAGTCGCACAAAATTAACAAGCCATAAGTTTTCGGGCGTTTCTACCATCGATTTTTCTGAGGGCATCAGAGTTCAACTCGTTAACTAGCTTCATCATATAATACACTATTAAAAATAAAAACAAGAAGGACCTGCGCGTTCAAAACCTGTCCTTTTTAGTTAATATGGCCGTGACCTTAACAAATAAAAACGAAACTGGCAGCAGGCGGACTAGAACATTCGCAAACCGCTCAATAAGAGACCCGCGAAATGAATTCAAACCAAAGAAATTAAATGAAGAAAAGAAATGACATGACCAAAACGGTGAAAGCTAAACCCGTAAAATGAGGCATAATTTCAAATGAAATCGATTTAACTGTGCTTCAATATTAAAAAAAAGCTCAAACCCCTTTGCAGGCGAAACAGTTTAAGCAGACGTTGAAACCGTTTTTATACCACTCGAACAGTATTTTGAACAGTTGGAATTTCTCTCGAGCTGGAAATCGTTTGAAATAAATTAATTTTCAGAGCTTTAAAAATGAGAAAATTTTCTGGCTGAAGCGAAAATGATGGTCTTTCACGAAGAAAGATGACACAGTTCCTGGGTCTGTGTGTATTATAAGTCGTTTGTGACTCTTGATTCCAATATATACAGAGAAGGAATTTAAGGAAACAATCAGATATGTTTGGAATGTCAATGATTGGAGAAAAATTACCGCCATGTCGCTCGATTCCATCCAAAGATAGTGTCGATGATCGATTTTTAGTTGCTTGTACAGCAGCAGCATTCCCAGATTCGTGAATGGAACCTTCTGACCGAGATCGAGTCAATGTTACGTTCCAAAATGTGCTTGGATCCAAAAAATTCTGCGAAAGGCAAAATATAACTTATGCTCATAAAAGGAAAATAAATTCATTTTCGGTGCAATGTGAAAATTTCACGTCATAATGCTGGCGTTTTCAAAAGCCGTGGGCATAAAATTATCGGACGAGAAGCCAAGGAAAAAAGCAAATCGCGCAGAGCGAACTATGGAGGAATTTTGCAGATGAAAACCAAATACAGAATTTGTCAGATAAAAAATACCAATAAAGAAAATCACATGCTTGAATAATATCTACTGCAAAATCAGAAAGATGAGATCTCTTCGCAGCATTTTCCCTCATGAGTCATGACACCTTCTTGTCATCATGATATTTTCCCCCCGTTTTTTTTTTTTTTTAAAGCGAACTCACGGAATTTTCCTTTGGTTTACTGGTGATTATTTCGACAGTTTGTAATCTTTTCCCGGGCTTGTGCAGCAGAGCCATGGCTGAGGCCTCTGGACTGATTCCTTGTCTTTCTTCCCATTCCAGAAGCCGTCTAGCAAATGACCTGCTAATTCCGCCAAACCGTAAACAAGCTCCGGAAGCCGTCCTCACGAGTATTTCCCGCTGGTGATTTTCATCCTCCGGAGTTCGCAGAGCCATTTTTATCTGCTCCAACCTGAGTCAACAAGCTTCAGTCATTGTTTGATACTGTGCTGTACTTGCAACAATTATTTCATTCGAAAGGGGAAAAAAGCATTGTTGAAATCCCTCTTCGACTACAGCCGTATTTCTGACAAGTCCAACCAAAGGTGACAATCTGCTGCTGAATAGTTCATGCGCTTTATTAAAACCCTCTTGCTTTTTTTCATGGATAGGCAGCATTTTTTCGCGAAAATTCTTCCCAATTTTCCATGGACTTTTCAATGTTTAACACAAAAATCAAACAATGGTCGGAAATGTGTGAAGTACGCAAAATATTTATGAGGAAATAAGCAACCCCTAGATATTTCATGCTCATAAATAAAATTCCGTCATAGAACGCGAAGATAAGCCCCCAACAACTTTCCTGGTGTTCTGAAATCTCAGGGACCAAGAATTTCTGACTAAATTTACTTTTTACCCAGAAAAGGTGCAATGGTGTCACACAACCCGTGCACTTGACCTCCAGTCAATGACCTATCCATCGTTAAGTGTTGAAAACTGACCATTTCTAAATTTTTTCAGACTTGAATTTCAAAAAATGAAGAAAAGAAGTGCCTAACTGTTTTGTGCGCCGCGAACAAGACATTTTCCTGATGTAGACGCATTTTTTCACAAAATGCATAAAAATTTAAATATAAGCACTCCTAGTTTTTGGGCTTATAACATTGAAAAAAAGGGGGCCGACATTCGCGTGAATACGGTACAGAATGTATTAATTATACAATGATACAGTACTGTATAAGAATTCCTAGAATCGTGAATACTCGTAGTGAACATATTTTCTTTATAAATACGGAATAATCTAAAAAGATTTCAAAATTTTGTTTTTTACTACAGTATTTATAGCATTGGGATTTTCCGAGTTACCCTAATTTTCCGGACAATTATAATAGGCAGGAGTGACTTGTTGTGGATCTTTGAAAATTTTGAGAAAATCTCAACATCAAATTTTTTCACGGAGATATATAGCATGCGAAAAAGTCCCGAGAGTCATGAAGATTTTGAGTGTGTTCCAGCAGTGAGAAGAAATTAATTAGAGGGAATGTACGTTCGGAGTGGCAGGGACACATTTGAAAAGCGACTTTTTACTGTTCCTCTATTTCCAGAACGAGATCGCGTTAAAATTAGCGCACCTGGCTTCTCGTCGGAGAAACTTCTCCTTCTCTCGTTCCAGCCGCCGCTTTTCTCGCTCGATTTTCTTGAGTTCCTTCTCCAACCACGCCATGTCTTTCTCCTTATTCGAATGCTTCCCGCTGCTCTTTTCCTCTTTCGAGTAAAATTTGCTTTGCAATTCTTGTTTTGGCTGGGATCGGACTGCTGCTGCTGCTGCTGACGTGGATTTCCGATCGGGCTTCGGGCTCGGCGTGATTATTCCGCCGGCAGAAGACAATGATTTGCTAGCATTCATCGCCTTTTTCTTTTCCCATTCCTGGAGTTTCTTGGTGAAGTCTTGCGGGAGCTTTTTTATTTGGTGTTCCGAAGGCCTCTGTGATGTAGTGCCGGAGTTGCGCATTTTTGCCCACTCGTCCAGCTTCTTTGTGAAGTTCACGCTGAGGTTTTTCTGGATGCTTTCGTATGCCTTCATGGTGGAAAAAATAATTTATCAAACATTTTTTTTATACAAAAATCAGAGTTCGCCGCTCGTGAAGGAACTAGTTGTTCTACATGAGCAAATACGTTCCACTCGTATGATCAAGAATAACAAGCGAAAACTAATTTCATACCAATCCTCACCCCACTCGTCTTTCTAACGCCTTTTCGCAATTGAATTTCCCGATTAAAAAAAACATGATTTATTTTTCAGCGATAGAAGCTTAGGGAATTGAAACGTTACAATTAAAAGTGAAGAGAATCTGCCAAAAGTAATCCAAAGACAACAAAAAATCAGTTTAGCCTGAAAAGTAACAGAATGGCGTCAATTGGTCGAAAATGTTTCTTATACGACTCAATATGATGGGAATTCTACACAATGGCGCATATATATCTAATTTTACGCATAAATATGTCGCTCGGCGGTTGAAAAGCTCTTCGGTTTCAGATTATAATAGAAGCATTATAGAGAAATAACCGATTAAAATGCAATTTTCAGAAAATTGCATTGATTCTGCTTCATGCAATACTTGCAAAAATATTGATGCTGCATTAGATAATTGTTTGTATAATTAAATTGAGGTTTATCTTTTTGCTTTCCTACAGCGAAATAAGCTGTTTTTTTATCACTTCAAATCAGTACCCGTATATATTTTTTTTAAATAACTGGCATTCATATTTTGAGAAAGCTTGGTTTTTGACGAAAAAAGGGTACTGGATCTTCAATTCTGAGTATAAGTAATGTAAAATTTTAATATTCCATTTATGCTCAACCTCCAGTCGACGCGGTCGAAAACAGCATCGTAAATACAGTGTATGAAAATCCACTTGGCAAACCGCACATTTCGATTCGATCTCAAACATTTCCGTGCGGATTATTGTACGATCTGAACAGCCTGAATATCCGCTATGCTTGAACTCGCTTTCGCATGCAGTGGTGCGATGTCAAAGAATTAATTATCATTTTTTCTTTTTAGAATGATCAGTGCCAAACCTGATAAGTAGCAGCCGATGGTATCGTGCTAGACTCGGAAACCCTGCTTCTGTGAGAATCCCCGAATATTCGCTGGGGATTGAACGGATTTTTCGG